TGGGGAAGGGAAGGGAAGGGAAGGGAAGGGAAGGGAAGGGAAGGGAAGGGAAGGGAAGGGAAGGGAAGGGAAGGGAAGGGAAGGGAAGGGAAGGGAAGGTTTGGGAAACCTTTGATTTTTGGTGGGATTTTTTCTGTTTGTATGTGTATGGGAATGTTGATTTTCTTTGGGACATTTCACCTAAACCTTTTACCTGATAACCTTGGCTAATATTTGGAGACTCTTTGATCTTCCTTAAACATCAGGGAACTTTATTTCCTAGTGAGCAGTTTTTTTCTTGTAACTCTCTGCACATTGAAAATCAAAATACAACTCTGACTAGTAAGTCCAACTGTGAGTTCATTTTATCAAGTTAATTAAAGGAACAATTTAATAAGCTTATACAGGAGACACTCAAAACACAAGGATACTGGAATCTTTGGGGAGTAGAATCCATCAAAGGAGTTAGTTATGCATCAGGGAATATGCCTTGGTTTGTTATGGCTCTAATGGATAATTTCTGCTCTGAATGCTGTGTGAGCTGACTATCTCCTTTAAACCTTGCTTTGAACATCTTTCATTTACCTGCCTGCTGCTGAAGTAGGAAAATATCTTGGTTTAGGACTCTTCCTCTTGCTTTAAAAAGTCATTTCTGCTTTAATCAAGATGGCCACTGGTGGCAGAAGGAATGGAATTAAGGCCCTAATTACCAGAGTCTCATGCTGTGACAAGCACTGATTTTGCTTGCAAGCAAATCTCTACAAGATCACTCGTGTTTTGGGTCAGGCTTCTGGTGATTAAGGGGGGTTTGGAAGAAGAGTTCAAGCTGATGAGCTGAATCCATAAACTCACACAGTTCATTAAAAGAAGGCTTTGAAGTCTCAATTTTTATTTTCTTTTAATTATGTAGAACTTCTTATGAAATGTTTCTATTCAGCCATTATTATTTTAATGGTTCCTTTTTTTTTTTGTTAAGTGAAAGCAATTTTGCTGCTGTTTTTCTTTCTTTTCACATCCGCCTCATACTTTCAGAAAGTTGGTATTTTCATGGAGATGTAACTTTTTACTGTATGTCATAGAATCCCACAATGGTTTAGGTTGGAAGGGACCTTAAAGATCGTCCAGTTCCACCCCCTGCCATGGGCAGGGACATCTTCCACTAGTTCAGGTTGCTCCAAGCCCTATCCAACCTGGCCTTGGACACTTCCAGGGATGGGGCAGCCACAGCTTCTCTGGGCAACCTGTGCCAGGGCCTCCTCACCCTGAAAGTAAAGGATTTCTTCCTAATATCCAATTTAAACCTACTCTCTTTCAGTCTGAGCCATTGCCTCTTATCCTGTCACTCCATGCTCTTATAAAAAGTCCCTCTCCATCTTTCATGTCAAATCCCTTCAGGTCCTGGAAGGCCACAAAAAGTTCACCCCAAAGCTTCTCTTCTCCAGGCTGAACAATCCCAGTTTCCTCACCCTTTTCTCACAGCGGAGCTGCTCCACCCTTCTGATCATCCCAGTGGCCTCCTCTGGACTCACTCCACTTGTTTTCCTTCCAGACTGAAGTCCCCTTCAAGGTGTTCCCTTTATAACCCCAGCCCTTAAGTTCCCATTGACCTTGAGGGCAAAGTCCAAAATCCACATTTATCTTCCACATTGTCTTCCACATCTGTGTTCTCACTCAACTGAAGCCAAAGAAACCTTGATCTATCCAACCATCTCATAATCACAGAATCCTACAATGAGTTGGGTTGGAAGGGACCTCAAAGACCATCCAGTTCCAACCCCCTGCCATGGGCAGGGACACCTTCCACTAGCCCAGGTTGCTCATATTTGGGGATTATTTATATTTTCTTTCCAAAATAATCCTAAATACTTTTTGATTTTGAGTAGTAGAATGGAAAAGTAGAATTAATGTGTGTATCAGCCCTTACTGGCAGGAATGGGGGGTTATCTCCTCCTCAGCCCCAGGTACTGTATTTATCTTTGCCAGAGCTTTGATGTTCTTCCATCTGAGCTGTCCCTGTGCTGACAGTTGTTGTACCTCCAGCCTGACACAGGTCAGATGTGAACAGACCTTGGGTCCATCATGTGAAGTGGCCACCAAGCAACTCTTTGTCACTTGTCCAAAAGAAGAAATGAATTCTCTCAGTCCTGGAGAATTTACTCTCAAAGAAAGACAGAAAACCACCTCAGATTTGTTATTAAAATAACACAGATACCCCCTGAACATTAAAACTGAGCAGGGGTGGGGGAAATCAAGCAATGAAGATCAATCACTGTGCTAATTTTGGGGTTTCTTTAGTAATTTTTGGAACATTTTAATCTGTTGACGCATTTTTGAAAAATATTTTTTAATATTTTGAAAAATAGAGTTGGGGGAAAAAGAGACATTTTCCATCCAAAAATCACCAGGGATAAATATCATCCTCTCACATGAATGGAATGAATGAGAAATGTTAAAAGACATATTTCAGCTCTTTGATTTACACAATAATTACAGCTTTGTAACAAGGATGATATATGGATGCAAGGTCTTCAGGGGAAAGTAATAGTACTTATTATCCCAGCTGGGATAAAGATAGATGGAATTTTGTCCACTTTTTCCAGCTGTGTCAGCTGCAGACAGTGGAAGGAATCTTGTATAATTCCTGTGTCCTTTTCCTTATGTATTGGAAACAGAATCATGTGCTTAATGAAGTCTTGATCTGAACATTTATGTTCTTTTGGTCCTCCTGGTACTTTTTATTTTTGGAGTGGATTGGCCCTGGCTGGGCCAGGGACACACCAAAGCCACTCTGTGACTCCCCTCTGCAACTGGACAGAGGAGGGAGAATATAACAAAAGGCTCATGAGTTGGGATAAGGGCAGGGAGAGATCCCCCACCAATTCCCATCACAGGTAACATAGTCTTGACTTAGGAAAATTTTTTTAATTTGTTGCCAATCAAAATCAGAGCAGGATAATGAGAAGTCAAACAAATCTTAGAAATACATTCTCCCCAGCCCTCCCTGCTGCCCAGGCTCTCCCTCTTCCCTCCCAGTGACAAAGGAGGATGGGAATGGGGGTCATGGTCAGTTCATCACAGGTTGTTTCTACTCAGGGAGAGGAGTCAGAGTCCTTTCCCTGCTCCAGAGTGGGATCCATCCCACGGGACATGGTTCTGCACAAACTTCCCCAATGTGAGTCCTTCCCACAGGCTGCAGATCTTCACAAACTGCTCCAGTGTGGGTCCCTTTCCATGGGGTGCAGTCCCTCAGGAACAGGCTGCTCCAACGTGTGTCCCACATGAGGTCACAGATCCTACCAGCAAACCTGCTCCAGTGTGGGCTCCCCTCCCTGCCAGGAACCTGCTCCAACACAGGCCTGCCACGGGGTCACAGCCTCCTTTGGGCATCCCCCTGCTCCGTGTGGGCTCCTCCCTGTGCTGCAGGTGGATCTCTGCTCCCACATGGACCCCCAAGGGCTGCAGAGGTACAGCTGCCTCCCCATGGGCTGCACCTTGGGCTGCAGGGGAACCTCAGCTCCAGCACCTGGAGCATCTCCTGCCCCTCCTCCTGCACTGCCCTGGATCTGCAGGGCTGTTCCTCCCACAGATCTCTCTTCTCTGGCTGCAATTACATCTGTGCAATAACTTTTTTCCCCTTGTTAAATACGTTATTCCAGAGGCATCACTGCTATCCCTGAGGGGCTCAGCCTGGCCCAGTGGTGGGTCCATAGTGGATCTCTCTGGCATGGGCTCTGTCAGAAAAGGGGGAAGCTTCTGGCAGCTTCTCACAGAAGTCACTCCTGTAACCCTCCCACTACCAAAACCCGGCCACACAAACCCAATACAACTTTATAGAAGCAGATGATCAAACCCAAACACCCTCAATAGCACAGATATGTCTAAGATAACCAGTCAGACCAGTGTGTTTCCAAAAAACTCCAATTCTAACATTTCCTAAACACGTTTGTGTACCTCCGGTTTGAAACTTCGGCGTTGAGATCATTCCCATTGCCCTGTCAAAGCAAAGCACAAGTGTTCAGACAGGATTGATGCATAAATTGTCCTGTCTGTTGGAGGATGCTGAGATCATAGAGTCATAGAAACATAGAATGTCCTGGATTGGAAGGGACCTTTAGGATCATCTCATTCCAGCCTCCTGCCATGGGCAGGGAAACCTTCCACTAGACCAGTTGCTCAGAGTCCCATCCAACCTGTCCTTGAGCACTTCCAGGGATGGGACATCCACAGCTTCTCTGGACATGTTCCTGTGCCTCACCATCCCCTGAGTGAAGAATTTATTCCCAACATCTAATCTAAATGGCTTCTCTTTCAGTTTAAAATCATTCCCCTTTGTTCTATCACCACCTGCTCCTTTTTGTCAGCCCCTGTGTTTTGTGGAAGGCCACAATGAGGTGTCCCAGAGCCTTCACTTCTCCAGGCTGAACAATCCCAGTCCTCCCAGCCTGTCTCCATAGGAGAGGTGCTTGTTACTATTTCCTTGACAATAAACAGCCTCCACTGTTTCTGTTTTGTACAGTGTTGTTCTCCTAAACATCTGTTGCTTTATAATCACACATAAGTCAACTGCAGATTTTTCTGCTGCCATCCCCACTAGTTAAAAAACATTAGAGCTGCTGGTAATGGCTGTGCCCTTTTGTTTTGCTCTCGTTCAGATAATTCTTGCTCCTGTGCCTTTTACTTTACTGCATCCCATCTGGTGACCCAGATTAGCTGGCTTTCTCCCAGGCTTAGCTCATTTCTACCTCCCTTGCCTAAAATACCCAGTAATGCTGAGGGGCATTCTCTCTGCTACCATACACCAAGAGCAGGTTTTTTCTGTGAGCTGCAGGAACTTTCCAGGATTAGACAGGAGTTTTCTTCTTTTCTTCTTTCTTTTCTTCTTTTTCTTTCCAGGATTTTCTTCCCCAAATGAAATCCTGGGTAATTTTCAAGTTAATCGTTTCTATCCCCACCCTTGGAAGTGTTAAAGGTCAAGTTGAACAGAGTTCTGAACAACCTGATCTAGTAGGTGGCATCCCTGCCCATGGCAGGGGGGTTGGAAGTAGATGACCCTTAAAGTCCCTCCCAACACAAACCATTCTATGATTTTAACTAACCATGGACACTAAAAATTAGGAACAACCATCAGGATGAAAATGATACAAGTAGACTGTCCACTGATGTTCACCACCCCACTTATATCCAGTTCTGGTGTAAAAGAATGCACAGATTTGTCTCAGCTGGGTCACTGCCTGAATCTGTTCTAAAAACTGAACAGTTCCCTCAACACTGGTTGGACTTGATGATCTTAGAGGTTTTTTCCAACCTTAACAATTTTACGAATCTAAGATCAAACATACCAGTGGGGAAAAAACCTTGATAACAGCCTGTTAATAAATTACTGACCTACTAGCACTGTAAGAGGATGCCCATGGGATTCTGAATCCCTGGATCCAGGGGTGGCTTAGGACAACCAGCCCTCTAGTACAGGTTGCTTGGGAGCTGTCAGAGATATACAAGAAGAGAAGCATCGTGGTCAGCCCTTGACTGCATTGGAACTGAGACCAAATCCACAAGAAATGCTGGAGAGGAGCCACTAAAGGATTACCAGGAGTGGTTGAGGTGCAATACAGTGCATCAGTGAAGGAAAGTGGGACTGATGTTCACAGTGCTTTAAAATACAAATAGTTTTATTATTATTAATTATTAGTATGACCAACATGTTGAGAGAGGTGATTCTCCCCCTCTACTCTGCTCTACCCCACCTGGAGTACTGTGACCAGCTCCAGAGTCCCCAACATGAGAAAGATGTGGAGCTGCTGGAGCAGGTCCAGAGGAGGCCACTAAGTTCATCAGAGGGATGGAGCATCTCTGCTCTGGAGCCAGGCTGGGAGAGCTGGGGGGGTTCATCTGGAGAAGAGAAGGCTCCAGGGAGAGCTGAGAGCCCCTTCCAGGGCCTAAAGGGGCTCCAGGAGAGCGCCAGAGGGATTTTGGACAAGGGGGTGGAGTGACAGGAAAAAGGGGAATGGCTTCAAACTGAATGATTTAGGAAGAAATTATTTACTGTGAGGGTGGTGAGGCCCTGGCACAGGTTGCCCAGAGAAACTGTGGCTGCCCCATCCCTGGAAGTGTCCAAGGCCAGGTCGGAGCAACCTCTGGGATAGTGGAAGGTGTCCCTGCCCATGGCAGGGGGTTGGAACTGGATGATCTTTAAGGTCCCTTCCAACCCAAACCATTTTATGATTTTATGATACTAAGGAATGATTAGGCCTGATAGTTTGTGCCTGTTCATAGTGAGCCTGAGGGAGGGACAGTAATGACTTATATCCTACCACTGCAATTTAGACACTCTAATGCAGTAAATGACTTCAAAACAAGCAGCCTTTAGCAGTTTTCCAGCACATCATTCCATGCTGAAGTTCAGCCCCCACACTCAGCTCTGGCATTTAGATCCAACCTGCTCCTGCTGTGTGCTGCCATTAATGTTTCTCCAACCCCACCATCCTTCTTGCCACCTACTGACCACCCACTCCCAGATCCTAATGGGAGTTTTGACCATGGGGGGGAGGAAGGGATGATTTGTCAGGTCATTAGGCTCCTCTTAGTGCAGCTTCCTCAGCTCCAGGATCTGCTCTATTTAGTGAAATATCTCCAGGCTTGTGGTCACACTGGTTTAAGGCACTCAATATTTTAGGGAGAGGAGACAAGCTGAGCAAGAAAAAAGCTCTAATTATCTCTACTGATGTATAAAATTTTTCCTGGGTGTTATATGGTGGAGAGGAGGGGAGAAGAACCCATCAGATGCATATTGTCATGATCATGACTCCCTTAAATAGCTCATTTAACCAAGGAAGTGATCTTTTCTTTCCAGAGGCCTTAATAACAGTTAAAATCTGCTCTTTTTTTTTCTTTGTCTTAATTTCTCTCTTTTTCTTTTTTTTTTTTTTTTTTAATTTGTTCCATTTCCAGCTCTTCATGAGTTTGGTTTTTTTCCCCCTTGGTAGCAAGTTGCATTTACATCTCTGACCCAGGAATCTTACACTTGCAGCTCTCCTTTCTGATCTCAAACATTTACAATCTCCTCTGGTCAGAGATTGTGCTGGTTTCCTTCCAGATTTCGATAAGCCTCATAGCTATTGCAGTCCCAATAATGAATTAATGATTGTATTTTCCCCTTTACTTCTTGAAGAATAATGTAAAGACACAAAACACTTGTTTACAGGAAAACATTTGCTACAGAGTCAGGGTTTTGGGTGTTTGCTTCTTAACTCTTTGCCTTTCCACCCTCCAGAGTCTCTTCTATAATGAATCTTAAATATGAGAGCAAAACCCTGTATGAACCTCAGGATGATGCCTAAGGATACAGAGGTTTCTGACTTTGGACAGGTAAAACTAAAAGGAACCAGTCTGGGGCTTGGATTTAACTTTGGCATTACTCTTAAAGAACTTTTCCAAGGGCAGGTACCTGACAAGTTCACAGCACAGTGTTAAGCTCCTTTATCCAACACTTTTTTGTCCTCTCAGAGAAAAAAAACACTTATTTTTCTGGGGAAAAAAAATAAATTATGGTGACTGCAGGACTTAAAATGTTGACGATGAAAGCTCCTCCAGCTGAAGAGTTCCAACCAGGGTCACAGGGCACCCAGAAGAAAGACTGAGCAATGTGCTATTTTCAGCACATGGTGTTGTGCTGTCAGCTTCTGTAGAGAAAACTAAGCCTGAAGCAAGCTTTTCTGAAGCTGAGACCAATTAATAAGAGATATAGAGCCAGCATTAAACTCTCTGGAATGACAGGCACATTTCCCTTTAAACTGGCACATTAAACATCTTCCCTTGAACTCTAATTTGGGTCCCATGTTAGGGCCTCACTTGGCCTGCCTTTAAAACAACTCTCTGAATTTTATTTAATTGTTTTCTTTATGTTTCTGCTATTTTTTATTTATCTGAATTTTATTCTATGCTTTTACTTCCCCCGCTGAGCTGCTGAACTACTCGGGAAAGGGCTCACAAGTCTGTTCAGCACTTTTTTGGCTTCCTTCTGATTTACTGTCCCTTAGAATTCATTTTAATTAGTGAATTTGAGCCAGCTTGCAGTATCCTGGGCTCCTTGTGTAGCCCTTAGAAATAGTTTGGGGTTTTCACAGTCATGTGGAACAGAGTTTGAAAACCATTGTTAAATGTACTTTTAGCTGAATAGGCTCTTTCCTTACTCTGGGGTGTGAATGTTGATAGAAAATGCACTAATTACTAATGAATATTGATATTCAATATTAATATTGGTCTGTTGGAAGGTTTTCTCCCAATGGCATTGGGGTGGAATGAGATGACTTTTGGGTCCCTTCCAACCCAAACCACTCCGTGGTTCTATGAGTGTGACAATAAAATTGAACACATATTCTGTGACACCAGCACAGCACCAGGGGAGGTTCAGGTTGGGTATTAGGAAGAATTCCTTCCCTAAAGAGTGGTTAAGGATTGGAGAAAGCTGCCCAGGGAAGTGATGGAATCAATGTCCTTGGAAGTGTTCAAAAATTGAGTAGCTGTGGCACTTCATGATATGTTTTAGTGGGCACAGCGGTTTTTGGTTGAAGGTTGGACTTCATGATCTTGGAGGTGTTTTCTAACCTTAACAATTCTATGAATTATTCCCTATGTCTCATTCATAATTAATTTATTTTTTTAATAAGTGGACATTGAGATTTTCTTTTACTTTAGAGACACTCATCTGTCTCCAGTGATCCAAAAATGGGGAGTGACAGTGCCAATCTTTGGATCTGCACAGAACCACGTTTTAAACTTGACACTAATTTAAAAATACAGGATACTTTTACAAAACCTAAAGAATTTAGGTGCCTAAGCACTCTAGAGATCCTTGGGAGTCAGACATTAGATGATCTACTTAATGATCTCACTACATGTTATGTGCATGATCAGGCACAGAAATGACTTGAAAATCTATTATTCAGTGATCAGCTTCAAAATCACATTATTAATGAACAGAATAGATGAAAGACGTGTTTAGAAGTCCTAGTGGCAATATCTTACAGCTCTGGTGTTCTACAGA